CTGACCCAGGTTTTGGTGGAATGTCCTAAATTTATTTTGAAGCAAGGGTAGGCATTCTGATAAACAACTGTTGCATGCAGTTTTCCATCTATATTTTATGGAAAATTTCTACAAGACCATTTCTCGTTCATATTCCTAGTTTCAGTAGCAAACAGGTCTACCTTGCCCTCTTTTTAGGGCAAGGATGCAGGTTTCTGTGTGAGTCTATAAAATTGTTATATTAATGATAAACTTTGTGGATTCCTTTGGGCTCGTTGTCTCCTCACTGGCCAAATCTATAAAAGTGTGAAAAGCATATCTAACAGCTACCACCATGGTGCACTTCATAGGCTGCTTGATCACTTTACAGACTTAATAATTAGTCCTAAATTCCACTGGAAATATTTCTCCCCCCTGAGAGAGAAATTATATTTGGAGACACAACTATGAATTTCCAACTAATGTCTATGAAATATCTACACAACAAGCATATATATATTCTATTCTATAGTATGTTAAATCTTATTTAATGTACTAATTTCTAATGGAATTATGCCAGCCACTATTCTAAGAGTTTTACAGACAAGATCTATTTTAATCCTCATACCAACTCTCGTATTAGTTCAAATTTACATAGGCAGAAACTGAGGTTTGGAGAATTTAAGTTACTTCGCTACAGTTAGTATAGCACTAGAATGAGCCAGACCCAAAGTTGAAATAGTGACAGTTTAATTCCAATGCCCTCATTTTTAACCACAAGGTTATTCAGCCTGCCTGCTAACAATGTTTCCACCGAGTCTACTTTGTGCACACAGCAGTCTTTCTTACCATGGATTATTTTTCCAAATGAAATTGATCACCTATGTGACTGAATTGGTCACCTATTTCCTCAGAACACAGCTTTCTCTAGTAAAAGTCACTTCACCAATTAATCTTTTCTACCAAGTTTAGTTTATGTGCTAATTTAAGAGAGGCATCAACATCCCATTTCCAATCACGTGTTCATCTTTTACATGATATTTAAACATTTTAATAAGAATCTTTTAAAACTGTGTTTAAATAAAAATACTAGTCATTTAAACACATCACACGTATTTAAGCCAGA